AATATTTTTGGCAAAACCCAAGCGTTTTAATCGCCTTAGTGGTCTCGCAGGAAGCAATCTTCTCGCTAGTCTGCTCCGGTGTCTAGCCAGTCTGTCACTATATCGGCTAGTGTGTCTCCCAATCTGTTCCTCCACAGTAAACAGTTTCAGATCTCGATGTAGAGTTGAGCCGCGCACATACCATGATTGATTGATTGATTTGACGTTTTACTCTAAGGTAATTTGAATTGCATACTTTTTAGCATCGAAATTATTTTCTAGAAAGCACCTAAAATTATGGTGTACAACACAATTCTTTTTAAGTTTCTACTAAAATTTAACGCTCGACAGGTTGGATTTAGACTGTATATATATTAAACATTTTCCCATAATTATTTTCTGGGATAGTTTCAACTTACGTACCCATAAAAAAAATTGATATAATTTCGGTTTAAAATAGAATAAAGTCAAGTAGAAACAAAAATCTACATTATTTTTAAACTTTTAACTATTTAAATTGATTATAAATTTTTAATTAACTTTGTCTTTTTGAATGGATCCGACTTCCAATGTAAAATCTTTTGAGTTAAAAAAAAATATGCTTCCCCAATTTTCTACTTTCTCTGACTTAACATCACATCTTAAATTCCTAGAATTTCCTGTGAATCTATTTGCCCTCTAATCAAAAGTAAATGCCAATTACCAAAAAGACTAGGCAACAGCAGACGAAAAGAAATTTTTTTATCTGGACCAAAAAATGTGTAACAATTGGCTAATACAAAAATATTTGTACCGCTGACGAAGACCGGCAATTGGCGAGAAGACAATAAACAAAATAAAGGAAAACAAAAAAAGACAAAATAAGAAAAAATTAAACGGCAAAAAGAAGCGCTGCACGCAACGGGAAAAATAGAAATACTAAAATATGGCCGGAGCGAGGCAAACGGAAGACAACAAAAAAGTCAAAGACAAGCAAAAAAAAAATCATAGGGGCTGCTTTAATAAAAAAATACAGCGAATAACAATGTACACAAAAGCGGGCGCACACAGTACTATAAAAATTCAGTTATGGTATGTGGGTTAAGCGCCAACGCATGTCCTTAGCCTGACAACGCAACGGAAGAGTGGGACGAAAACGGAAGGCGACAAACGGAACTAAATAAAATTTATCGATTGACACATACAGGCACACATACGCTCACACACATAAATATCGATATTGCGGGGTTGGGGTCAGGGGTAGCTTAGCATGAGTATTAATAACATTTAAGCGGGGGTAGGTCGGTGCACTGCATACAAAATCCAAAAAATTGCGATTTGTTTGGACTATTTAGACAGTGCCATGTCTAATTTGCATGACCAATCGATAAACGATTGTCGTCGAGGTTAACCGTCAAACGAAACATGAACGAAATCTGCAAAATTATGAAACATTTTGCGAGTAGAGCTTGGGCAGCGTGCTCAGCTGGCATTTAATATGCTCGAGTATTCGATTTGCATATCGCATTGGAGTATCCTGACCTAATTAAATATTAAATTTCCCAATTGACATGATTCTGTGATATAAATAATCAATTGAATCAGTAAAGTAAAATTGGGCTATTAGGTTACCTATTTACGATTATATTATAGATTAGAACAAAGCTTTAATGGAAGCTTGTGCGCAGAGATCTACTAGAAAGACAAGAAACACTGACACTAATTATGAGTTAGTGTTATATTTGTAACAAAAGTCCATACGGTATAGATTTATTGAAAGATACGGACTTATAAATAAAGCTCCCTACGAGTTTGCATGTTTCTATATACCTCTTCTCTTTATTCCACGTCTCTCGTCCCTTCTTTGCTACTCTGCTAATCTCCAACTGTCCAACACTTCTACTCCTAATCTCCTATTCTCCATATCGACAACTCGCCAATTCTCATATTGTTCACTTCTCCTACTCTCCACTATGTCTCTCTTCGACTCTCCCACTCTCCTATTCTCCTGTTCCTCTACTACAAACTCTAATACTCTCATATTTTCCAACTCGCCTACTCTCCATCATTGCATCACTCTCCTACCTTCCATCTACTTCTTCTATTATTGGACTGACCTCCTGTCCTCTTCTTCTGCTCGTTCGCTCTTCTGTCGCAATCCTCTTCCATTCAAGCCTTACATTAAATATTTAGCATTGCTGTATTAATGCTTTCTCTTTCTTAGTTCATTTCAATCTTCGTTGACTTCAAGCTTCCGTTTTTATTGGAATATTTACGCCCAAATGATGGACAGCTTTGCCCAGTCCCGTTTAAAGCTGAAACAACTCAATCAAGTTAAGGGTTTCGTCCA